CCTGGGACCAGCACAGTTACTCGGCTGGAAAGTTGTGCTCACCCCTTTGCAAGAGCTTTGTAGGTGCTGGCTTTCAATTTGACAAGAGCCCCCCAGTGGGCTAGAAGTCCCAAGCACATCACATTGACAGTTGTTTTCCAGTTCTATTAAATTATACTTAAGACAGAGAGGTATTTACCTACTGCAGTTATCCCCGGAGCTGGCTTCTAAGCTCCAAGACCTTGGAAGCCTTGAAAAACCTAATTAATGCACTCCCATAAATAATTCCATCTCTTAGGAGGAGATGTACTCTCCACACAGTAAGTAACAGCTTTCTTTAATGAAAAAAATGATTTGCCAATGCAGATCTGTATTTTATTACAGGTGTTTATCAACCATTTATAATTGACCATAAAGAGAAGAAAAAAAAAATATATGGCAAGAAGAGAAACTCTAACCTGAAAGAGAGCACCTTCCCACAAGCTACATCATCCCTGGAAAGCAAACCTGGGCCTGTTCTGTTCTGTCAGCTGAAAACATCTCCCCAGGGAAATCTCACACTAAATTAAGAGTCAGTGCAGGCCATTTCTCCCAAGACCCCTTTGCAGCTGCAGGGACAGAAGGTTGCACAGGACAACCTCTCCCCAGCTTCAAGCCAGCAAGGAAGCAACTGCCTGCTCTGTACCCTCTAAAACGGAGCAAATCAAGTGCTTCCTATTACAGGTAGAACAGCCATGCCTGGGACCACAACACGATGGCACAGCAGGCTTCCCACTGCAAATAGGCAGCAATCAATGAGTATAATAGTAAAATGGGAAGTTATAAGTCACCTGTTTACCTAGTGCTGCTACCCAGGAGGTTTAAATATACTCTTTTTAACATAGGAGTTTACCCTTTAAATAGGTTTCCTTTTGTCCAGTGGGATCAGGAGAGCAATTCTTGTTGTGGAGATGAGCCTAGGTGACCAACTCTGATACAATAGCATAAGGATTTCAAGGTAACCATAAGCTGGTTTAATTTCATTTTTTAACACTAAATAAAAGAGCTTCTAGTACCACAAAAAACATCTAGGTCCTTCTACAAAATATTCATTCAGTTCCCTTTTGAACTCTTATCCATTAATCTTAATAAGCACTCCAGAACCACTGTCAGGAACAGCTTAGTGCTCTGAGAATCAGGGCAAAACATTTGCAAAAACATCTAGCTTGGAAGAAAAGCACACACCACGCCACTGATGCTAGAGAGCTGCCTCTGCAAGGTGAGCTCTGCTCCCCATGATCCCACACAAGCTGACCAGGAACAAGGGGATGGGTTGGTGCTGTGGAAGAGCACTGCTCAGCTCCCTTCACATGGCAGGAGAACCACAGCCATGGGCAGGAGCCTGGAAACACCACCAGGAGCTCACCTGCTTGGACAAATGTGTGCTGGGAGCCACCTCAGAAGAAACACCAGGGCTTCCACAGCAAATATACCAAGGGTCTCCCCAGTAGCACCAGGTTATCAGAGAGCTTCTGTCCTTGAAGCTTGGCTAAAATACCAGCCCTCACCCATCCCAGCTCTCCTGTACAGTAAGAAATGGACCTCTGAATTCCTTGTGCAAATTTATACTTTTCTAAGTGCTTCTTCTTTTTTAGCAATGGCTATAGCCAGGGGTGCAATTAATTCAATTATTTCCAAAAGATTTTTAGCTCTGTAAAACTCATGTATTATTTAAACCTCATAACTGAACTGTGAACATTATCAAGGTCCAGTTTTCTCCTTTACACACAAGAGAAAAAGAAAAGTTTTGGTAAAAGATCTCTGCAGAATATCCCTCAGTACCTCCAAAATCCTGAGAGTCCCTGACTACTGGTAGACCTTTCATTTCTGCTGTGACTTTGATGGTACCTGACTTTCTCCATCAGCAGATCTCTAATTCACAGTGAGTCTTTGCTGTGTCTAGTCTCAGATTCCTACAGCAGCATTAAAGGATCATCATCTGTAGCAAAAGCTTTTGCCAGGCTGCTTTCTTCTGTATCTGCACTCCCCAGCAAGATTCAAGTTTCCCTGGAGGACGATGGGGTAGAGGAAGGCTGATCTTCCCTCTCAACCTGGAGGACCAACAGCAACTGGTTGAAGAATCCTCATACTTAGAGATAGGTGCCACTAGCAAACAAGAAATAAATCTAATCTGTAGTTTATATAAACAGTTTTTTAGAGCACTGGTTATTCTGATTGAAGAAGTGCCACCTCTAAACAATTAATTCAATGGAGCAGGTTCACTGCCAGCCTGCATTTCACCTTTGGGAAAGGGCTGAAAAAAAAAAAAAAAAAAAAAAAAAAAAACACAGCCCTCTGGAGCAAAACAGACTCAGCTGCTTCCTTGCAATCTCATATTCAACCATTGAGGAGGCGTGTGCAAAAACAAGAGTTCACTGGCAAGAATTACTGTGGTCTTCCTTGCCATTCTGAGACCTAAAGTAACAATTTAAGGAGCAAGCACAGCCCAGGAGCAAGTCATCCGCACAAAGGAGTTGGTCTCCCACTCACAGCTGTGAGGCACAGCTGCCGTCCTCCTCCCCTCTGCAACTCCCAGCTCTAGTTAGGCAGCAAGCACAAAGACAAAGCTCTTTACAAATACTAAATGGACAACATGTCCTACGCTTTCTAGCAGCTAGACAGATAGCGTGTCCCCCACCCCCCAGCAGCCCCCAAGCATCTTTGAAGGAATATTATCTGGACTTAAACCTACTGACCAATGGCTAGCTCCTTCGTTATTCAACAGCCATTAAACACAGCAGATGCATACAAACAGAGAAGAGCAAAGCAGAAACTAACTGAGCAGCATTCGCACCCAAAAAGTAAGCTAGGGATGTAGCCAGTTCACAGCTCCCAAGAGGTCGACTTGGTGTGATCACTGACACAACTCTTAGGAGTCCTAGCTCTGTTTTTTAAACAGATTTCCTAGAGATCTGCATTACTGCATCTTCCAAGTGCTGTAGCTGTCAGTCAGCTTTCTGTAAGTTATTACTTATGTGCATTCAGAGCGGTTTGGGAACCGAAGGTTGTCTTGTCACTTCCACACTCTATAAACAGTCGAGATGCTGGAATATGGTAATATTTACTCCTGTTTTGCCATCTGCTTATAGATGCACATAAAACATGTGACTCCCAGAACGTGGAACAGCAAAAATAACAGTTATGGCTTTTCATTTTGAGATAAAGGTAAAAAAATAAAAATCAATATACATCTCTTCTTCTTTTTAATGAAAAAGGTAGTATTGTACAAAAGATAAAAATATAGTGTGTGTGTATATATATATATATATATATAATCTTCTCAATATATACTGTTCAGCTATAGTTTTTACTAAAGAATCAGCATCTTAAAAAAAAAAAAAATCTGCCTCCAGATCCCTACAGTCTCAGTTATGTAATCAGTCAATAAAAAGCAACCAGAGGGCTCTGCTGTTTATCTTTAGCAGAAAAGATCCATCCAAGCTCTAGGTCAGGTTGTAACAGGATGAATGTCCCCAAACGCCCTCTTGCCTGAACACTTTGACATACCTGGGAAGAAAGCAACTACTTTTAGCGTTGATTTCCACTCTGAAGCTCTCTTACACTCCTACAGTTGAATCTTTACAACTTCTTCTCACAGCCAGATCAAAACCCCAGATGCCAGGCAGCTGCTGCCCAGGACAAGCCCACCTAAGGGCAGCCCCCAGAGCAGCTGTTCTCAGCATGCCCACAACAAGGCAATTACAGCCCCCACCCACCATCAGCTCCCCACTCAGGTGCAGTTTCTTACTCAGGTGTTCATTGCTAGGCAGTGCCAAAGACAGAATTAAAATTGTGAGCGTAATTCTCCAAATAAAGATCAGCACGGCCAACTGAAGAGCAAAGCCCCTCTGCTTCTCCCTACTAACAAACCAATCCAAACACCAAACTGTTAATGGTAGAGCACTTCTGTCTGCAGGCTCCCAGCAATGCAGGAAAATATCCAAGACAATTTCACCATTGCACCTTTTCAAGCACAAAGTGAGATCTGCAAAAGCTATTTCCTAAAGGGCAGCCCTCACCCCAGAGAATGCCAGTCTTCACTTCCTACAGTTTATTTTGAAAAGAGCTGATAAAGAAAGGTGGATTAAGTAGAAGGCTGATACCTCTGCAGGTCTTTGACCCATAAGATGGTCTCACAAGATGAGAATAGAATGAAATTTTGTGCTCCCCTTGACCTTAGGACATACAACATTGGGATGCTGAGGTCTGTTTTTCCCTTGCAGGGATGGGAAATGCCAACCCTGTTGTGGGGATTTTTTTATTTGTTTGTTTAACAAATCCAAATGAGATCTTTTGAAATCTAATTGTGTAATATCCCACAGAAACCTCAAACTCTCCATGGCTGGAGAAGGATGTCAGAATGTCAGAGCTGGAGAAACATTTCTGCTGCAGCTGATTTCCTCTTATAGAGAACACCATCAGCTTGTTAGCTTACCAAGCAGAGCATTTTGTTTACTGTCAGATGCTGTTGACCCCGCACTTTAAAACTTGCACAGATGTAGTGCCTCTGCTACCACATTTTCTTCATTCTGTTTGTTGAACTGTTCTTCTCACACTGGCTTGGGACTCTTAAGATGCCTACAAACTGCACTTTCACCCAGCAGCAAACTTTTATACTTTTGCTTTCTCACTACTGTAAAAACGAAGAACAAACATTAACTCTGTGTCCCACCCCACTCCCACAGAGCCACCCCACAAACAAGCACTCGTCTGATCACAGCAGGAGGTGACATCTCAGAGCTTGCAACACCCCACCACATCCAAATATAGTCACCCTAGGGTCCCCAGCTAAGGTAACACACAACTAAACACACACAAAGACCCTTTTGGTTCACAGATTGTGATTTAAAACATATAGGGAATTAAGGCAACTCCAGAAAAATCTATTTGTTAGGTCTGTACTTCTATCAGTCTAGAGAAATATTAGCAGAACTCACAGCAGTAATGAAAAAGAACATTCAATGTCTTGTGTGACCACAAAGTAATTATGAGACTCATTTTACATTGCATTTTAATTAAAAGTTCATTATAAGAATTTTCTTTTAAGAACAGCATACTACATATTAATGGAAATATGTAACTTTATCCTACAAATGGGACTGTCACCATATTATTCTTACAATTCAAACATATGAAAAATAAAATATGATATATAGCTATATAAATTTCCCCTCCCCACCCATTTAAATTCATTTTCTTTTAAATAACAAAAGTATTAACTCTTTCCCGGTACAGTGTATTTGCTATCCGCGAGCCACAAACTAAGTAGTCACGTCAATGCCAAGGAAAACAGCAACATTGTTTGCAAAATATTGAGAGAAAATGAAAAAATATAGTAGTCAGCCCAGTGCTTACAGAAGAGAGACAGTCAACAAGAATTGAAGGAACCAGCACATTTTACATAGGACCATTATAATAACATAGAAAACAGTGCAGAAGACTTATGTTGGAAAAATATATAGTGATTCTTAGCAAGCTGAAACTGAACTTTGGCACTTGCTCATAAAAAGGCCTTTCAAAGCAAAAGAAAACAGAAATTCACCTAATCACAGCTTCTATATTTAAAGAAGAGACATGGACTAAAGCAAGAGAAACAATAGAGAAAAGTTTACAAGCCAGGTCACTACAAATTCAGTACATTCAACCTACAGAAAATACAAATACAATCTTTCATCCAACCATCTATACAGGGATCCTGGCTAGGGAAAGACAGGCTTTGGGACAGAGCCTTACCTGAAGCTTCTCTACTTCAATGGAGCTATGCTGATTACACAGCCCTTTCTGCAAATTGAACTAGAATAGCATGTGTCAAATACATTGCCTCCTTACCATAAAATAAAGATTTCTGAACTGTAAATTAAGAAGCAAGACCATTGCACTCAGACAGTGGCTGTTCTGCTCTATCCACAGTTGCACCATAGTCACTGTAATATAAGGATAAAGTGATTTCTTTAAAAAGGGCTAAAAAAGAATGGCTTCAATTCGAAGGGGAGACAATAGACTGGAAGGAAGGATTCACATTTAGCCTGTTAGTCTTCGTGCTGTGTCAGCACTGCACATTAACATGTTAACTACAATATCCCTTTTGATAACTGCTCCCCATCCCTGTCAGAAGAACTGATGTCCTAAAGTAGGGCCTAACCCAAAGGCGGCTGCAGGCCAAAGCATATTTCTGGATCAGCCCATAAGAAAAGAAGGGCTGCTCTAGACAAGAAGTGCTTCTTTCATTGTCAGGCTCAATGCTCCAAAACTATGGTGTGTTGTTTTTTTTTGTTTTGTTTTGTTTTGTTTTCCACTGAGGCAATTTATTTCATTTTTTTAAGGAGTTAGGGAAGGACAAAGAAAAATAAGTGCCTTAGATTGCACAGAAGATTGTCCTACTAAAGGGGGCACTTGAATGGGAAACAATTGCAGCTATAAATCTAGCAGACGCTCTTCACATGTCTCCACAGGCCATTTAGTTGCACCTCCAAACACATCAACGTTGTTATCAACCCAGGGTATGATGTTGCCAGGCATGTTGGTAGAGCAGTTAGCAATATTCATGATGTCTTCAGCTTTTAAAACCCTGTCCCATATATTGAACTGGCTCATTTCCCCAACGAAGGCTTGAGTCGCATCAAATCTTCCTCCTACTGTGTCCTTCAGGCACAGAAGAATTAGGATTAGATGAGAAGATTATTTCAGCATTTTCTTCATCAAACTTGAAGACCCTCCCACCCACAGCCACGCGGCTAAAAGGAGGCACAGAGGTAAGTGACAGGGACAAGCAACTTCAAGTTTCTAGAAGGGCTACTTTGAGCAAGATGTCATTCTGTGGAACAGGTAAAAGCTCCAGTCTGAAATGGTTCAAAACAATTCAAAGCAAACAGTAGCGACTGTACATCATCACACAATGGTATACAGTCACCTACAGTTACAGCTACACTTAACTAACCCTGCCCCCAGTTAATAGAGCAGGAAGGCAGCTGTAAATATTGAGGCTGATTTAGGACCCATTTTGCAAGCTTGGTACAAGAAAGCTTCAGCAAGAACTACATAGATGCGTAAGATCACTCACAGTTTTATAGCTATAGATTAAACTGTTACTGCAGCCCTTGACCAATGGTCCGCAGGGACTACAAGATGGGATCTTTGGATCTGGACACACACAGGCTTCTGCTGGCTGAACCAAATGAGTAATGCCAACTGTTACTGCACAAGCCTGAAGTGTTTATTTGCTCAACTCACTACTGAAGGACAGTGTGATCGGACTGATAGCACAGGACAGAGCCAAGCGTAGTACAGGCAATGGCAAGAGAGAGTTACAGAAAAAGCTGCCAGCCATTTAATAGTGAGCTGGAGCATCTGCCGTACAGAGTGTATTAGGATTCTGAATTTACCATTCTGTCACTTTTGTTATGGGTAAGGAGCTACTGAAATCAGCATCGGGACAAAATTAATTCTTCATTGCCTTGCCCAGTTGTGAACCTGGGAATACTGGAGAAAGAATATTTCCTGCTATGCATTACAACCAATGGTTTTTATTAGGATAATGTATATATAATCATCCAAAGAACAAATAGAGAAAAACACCAAGATAATAGAGCCACACAACTCATAGTTAATATCTCATTAAGCTATTGCCTAAATCAAGGGATTTTGAATCTTCCCATATTCAGAAAGGACTTAACCTCATGAATGATGTCTGCTGGCAATACTAATATTCAAACTTTATTAGCATTTGCTTTAAGAGAGCTATTTACCTCTACCTTTAATGAGAAACTAAATATATGATGTAGAATTCATATCTTTCCCACTCATCTTTAAAGTGGGCATCAACTTCTAAAGTAGTGATAGGACCCACTACTGTAAAGATGTGTGCACCTGAAAAGCCACACAACTCGGCCTAGAGGGAATTCCCCTTGGCACTTATATAGGTTATCAGGATAGAAGATCCCAATATACCCACAAGCACTCCAGTGCCCACAGTTGTCGGTCCCCTCATCCCCATATATACTTTTTTTTGTCTAATCTGGGGCTTTGGGACTAACATTCTGACTATTTTGGGGATAATGAGGAGATGGAGGGGAAAAAAAACAACAGCAATGTGCTAAGGGGGGTGGCCAATTTGGCTTCAATTAAAAAAATTCAAAGCAATTAGCCTTGGTCTGCTTTCAGGAAGCTCCTTTTTGATTGTGCTTACACAACAGCACTGGCCAGTTCTCTCCTTTTCTGAAACTTCAGTGGCCATGTTGCTAGCACCGAGCAACCTAGCTCCAAGGATGTCATTTAAGGCATTACCCAGATCATTGACCTAGCTGCACCTTGTAGCATTAAGAGTGGGAATGAGTTGCAACATGAACATTCTGAATATTTAATAAATTAAACATAATATAACAAAGTATGTTTATATTAAGTATTTGTTGCTGTTTTAATCTTTCAGATACTACATATACAACAAGACCAAGCATTTACGAGCAAACTGTCTCACAGCTGCTGTTTGGTTGGGGGGGTCCTTGATTTCCCTTTGTCTTTTTTGTTGGGCTTGTTTGTTTCTGGTGTTGTGTGTGTTGTGGGGTTTTGTTTTGTTTTTCTTAAGCAAAACAAAACACAACCCTAGAACACAGAATCATTCACTTACCTGTTCCTGACCCAGGATCAAGACACCTCCAGGTTTAATTGGATGCCAAGGAGCAAGATTCTCCCCAGTGCCAAGCTTCTCTCCATCCTGAAAAGCCTCCCACATTCCATCTCTTGTTGTCCACGTAATACAGATATGATGCCATTTTCCATCACTAATGAAGAGAGGGAGTTGGGCAACCTACAAAGAAAACAACAAAAACAAAGAATAATGAATGTTGTAAACCAAGTCTGGCAGTTCAAGCACAATGTTTGTAAAGGGTCTGTATTTATCTACTGTCTGCAGAGGCATAAGCTTTAGGGGCAGATACTAATCCACATTTTCCTATTTTGTCCCAGCTCTCCTGTATTCAGGAAAACGGGCATGCTTTTTATTCCAGATGTAGGCCCTTATTTCATCTGTAATCAAGACACAAGTACTAGAGTCTAAGCTGCTATCAACCCAGTGATACTGCATATTTATTTGCATTTACTTAAATCTCACTGCTAACTTTCAATCCAGTGCTCATGTTAAGTTCCTCTTCAAGTCTACATTTTGCTTGCACCATTTGCAGTGAGAACTCTAACAAATAGTTCAGTCTGCTGTGGAAGCTATTATGCAGGCATTCTGTTCCTTCAGGACTTTGATCTAAAAACTTACCCAAGTCAACATAAAGACACAAATGTAGTGGGCTATTAAGCAGCTGTGATGTGGAAGAAAGAAAAACTTATCAGAATGTTAGTAAAACTGACATAATACTTAAGAGATGAAAATTTATTGCTAAAAACAAGCATGCTCAAGTCTCCTTCTTTTCCATAAGCCATTAAAGATAATCTGATTTCGGTTTTATTGATTTGGCAGGATGGTAGGACTGTTACAAGTCCTTAACTATCCATGTGACTGAACCAGCTGAGATGTGCTGTAAATTCATAAACACCTGATCCCTCAGAGAACAGTGAGTTACTAGGAAACCTAACAGGCCAAAGAAAACAAGGGATGTGCCTGAACGCAAGTTGCACTACAATACAGCCTGGGCAAAGTTAAGAATCTAGTTCTGCTCACACTGATTCAAATCCAGTCACTTTAACTATTTACATTTTATAATTAACCCAAGCAGAAGGTGATGAAGAATGAAGTATCCAGTCTGTTTTAATGCAGAGTTTCAACAGGTCTTGTTTCCCTCGGGTCTAATTCAAAAAACATCAGTGGTGTGAAGCCATGAGGGACAATTAGATGTTGCTTTCTGCATCTAGATGCAAGTCTGAAAAAGTTATGTTCCAAATGATGTTCGGTCACAAAACATAATAAAAGCAGCCACAGTTACATGCCTCCCAAACAGATGATGGGATACAAAATTCAAGAGGCCAAGATCTGTTTGTAACTGGAGAGGACAAACACAGGTGTGTGCATACCTAGATGTAACACAGCCTTGCCTCAATACCCAAATACATACACCATTTGACTTTGTTAAGAGTACTTTTATGAATTTGCAACAAACAGATGGGCAACAACAGACGGGTACACATTCTTCTACCATCCCAAAGGCCCAGAGGTGGCTCTCTCAGAGAGAATGAGTTACCACAGAGGTACCAAGGGTTCAGGCATAGAAACACGGTGTTATTCTGGTTATGTGGACGTGAAAAGGATTCTTACCTTATCATTAATTAGCAGTTCAATTGGATTATTTCCCCACTCTATGAGGACAATTTCATTAGCCTGCCCAGGAACAGCATATGAGAATGGAGTGCCAATTCCAGGAGAAGCACTTGACCTCAGCCATAAGCACACAGTAAAAGCATACAGCTCTGGCAGAGTCTTCTTGATCTTCCCATACAAGTAGTTTGTGCGAAGAGGAAGGGACACTTTGAATTCATCAGGTGATTTAAATGCACTACTACCTAGAATTACATTGAAGAAGAAAAATCAAACAAAACAATATGTATATGTAATTCAGGCTGGGAAAAGAATATAATTTATATTGAGAAACTTTAATTTTACCCAAGTTAAAGAGGATACACAAAAAAATATGCTGAAGATTAGTGATGTTGATTTTGCAGCACAGTTAGAGAATACAGCTAGATTTTATATACATCATGCTAATTCTTTTTCCTCCTCACTCAGAGCAAAATAATAGATGGCATACAACTAATGAGAGGCTATTAAAAATTTTCTTTCTTCATTGCTCAGTTCATGGCTGGAGGCCTTCCTATCTCACACAATTCAAACTGTTTTAAAACATATTTACTGTTACCAAACAGTGAATCTCTAGGTATACTCATTATTAAAGCACGACAGTGTTTCAAAAATGATGTTTCTTTTCCTATTACTTCTACACAGGGAGCTAGCAGCAGTATCCCAATTTTATAGATAGCAGACTGAGAAACAGGTTGATGCTCTTGATTTGGATGGCCAATCTGAAATAACAAAAAAAAATCATATATTCCAGAAAGCTTCCAAAAAGCAGAGTTAAATTTAGAACTGTTTTCTACCCATAGACAAATCCAGTGGAGTTCTGAACTCAAATACAAAGCTGAAGCTCAAAGTGACAAAGAAAAATGTGATATAAACTTGTGAACTACCAAAACACTAGACACTGATGTAGTTACTTGCAAGTAATTTTTTAGATTTTAAGTATATTAAAAGGAAGAGAGAAATCCCACATTGTGCCCACAAAATAAAACCCCACAGTTCTGTAGTAGAGTGTCAACCTCATCCTTTTAACAACCCGATTGCCACCCATTTCCTTTACTCAACATTCCCAAAACAAATTCAATCCAAATGGCCAAATTTCACACTCCAATCCGAATGAAGAGCTGCTGTCACAAAAGGTTGCCGCAATTTTCATATGAATTTTTTAAACTGTTGGCATTCTTTCAGTTCTGATTCTCAGAAGCAACTGAAGTGTTTTGACTGCATTTTTCACAGAAAGAGGGGGTGGAAGAAGAAAAAGCTTGTCTGATGCTTGCATCTGTCTTGAAGACCTTACAGCCCAAAAACCGAAATACTCCAAATTTATAAGCAAATAAAAGTAGGGTCTTCAGGCTAATGTTGAGCAACCTCCACTAGGCTGGCACAGCCAATGTCAAAATAATAAAAAATTTACTCCATTGAGAGCGTTACTCACTGTGTGAAAGAGCTTAAGGAAGCAATAATAGGTTGGAAAAGAACAAACAATATTCATCTTAATTGCACTTTTACAGTTTGTCCTTATGACTTGAAAACACCCACAGCTCCAAATGGTACCAAGATTCCCCTGTTCTGGGCAACGTGTACATGCACAATGAAAAATGAAATTATTTTCCTAAAGAATTTCAGTTAATTGTGGACAAGGTGGGCAAAAAATATTGTTATTCCTTTTTAAAGGGGTTTGGATTTAAACACAGCAAGTGACTTGTCTGTGTTTCCAGCAAAATTATTCATCACATTTAAGGCCTGGCTCTACCAGTTGTGGGATCAGTCCTCCCATCAGTCCTGCTTTTTATTGAAACACATACTTCAGTTGAAGGAGATAACTGGTATAAATTACCAGAAGACTTTGGCAATCAGGACAGTTGTATGAACTTCAAGCTCTTCTGCTCCACTGGTAACTAAAGACTTCTGCCATAGTGACAGATAAAAATCCCGAAGGCATACTGCCACCTTGGAAGGTAAGTTCTTCCTCCATTTAATCTCAGAATGACCAGGTGCTTAGGGCTCTTCAGTTAGTTGGCAGGAATAGATGTTAAACAGCATGTCATTTAAAATAAAAGCACTGTAGAAATGCTGTTTTCAAAAAATGTCAGATCACTTCAAGTACTGACTGCATTTAATCTACGGATTCATTAAGTTCTTAGGTCATTATTACCCTCACCTTGATTTGACTGAGGAGCCAAAGGCACAGAACAGCTAAGCAAACCGCGTTGTAACAGACAGCAAATTACACAACCAAAAGAAAGCCTGTGTCTTGGTTGCTGGCCCAAATACTTCACTTCCCTGGAGACTTATACGAAGACAGCCCTCTCTCTTCCCCACACACACAAAAAAAAAAAAAAACAGGAAGCTGGGAAGGGGCTATTTTTAGCCCAAGCAAATTACACATTCTTGTTCTCCCACTACTGCCTTTCTCTTTCTGATGACTTACTGATATGAGTCACATCTTCCACAGACATGGACTAGCAATACTTGCCACATAAGACATTAACAGGCCACCAGTTCTCCAGAATTTTAGTTGCAGTGTAGGTTTTATCTTAGCTCTCAGGAAAGCATTAAATAACAGAGTCAATACAGGAGTTCTTCCTCCTCTTCCTCTTTCCCTAGCCTTCACACTTTTAAAATGAAAACATTAATGCAGTATTATACAAATGGATCCATTAGGCTTCATTTTAAAATTCATGAGATATGCATGTTTATGCTATTTTGAAAGCATGTCCATTATGCTGCTTTTAAGGAAGGGGCCTATTCACTTTGGAAAAATCATTTGAAGATTGGACAGTGATATTTACCAGTACTCTAGTCCTACACTGTCTACTTAGTAGGTGTATATAATCACTCCAGAAATACAGTTCTGTTCTTCAGCTCATTTTCACAGACATTTGTAATTCAAATAAATGGACCCTACTCAAGCATACGGATCTCAGTAATAATTAACCCAAGTATCTCATTAAATGTCTGGGATTAAGAGAGTGCCCCCAGTGGCACCACGTGTAATCTACTACAAACTCCAAAGGCTATGTACTTGATATAGGACACAATTGAATTATCTGCAGTTACTCAATGGCATATCCAGCAATAGAAGGAAAGACCTTATCCTACCAGTGACATTTCCAAAGTAGCAGGAAGCGGTTCTGGCAAAAGACACCATTTATTACATCAAAGGCAGTTGTGCTAATTAGCTTAGCCTATATTATTTTCAGTTCAAATAAAGGCAGCTCTACTTAGATGTGTACTTGACATTACCCAGGTAATTACCTGACACCAATATTGTACTTCTTCCTATTTCCACTTGCCTCTTTATTTAACTTTCCACCTCACAAACACTAAGAATTTCATCCTAAACACTCACATATGCCAACATAAGAGACAGGAAGCCAAAGCCATGCAGGAAGGCTCTGACAGAAGGAAGAAAGGTATTTAAGTATTTGCACTGTTACCTAATATTCAGTCCAGTACTTTAACCAGAAACAGGCTGTTGTCCTTCCCTCAACACACACATTTAAACTAGTGTGCTGGAAGGGGGGAGGAGACAAAATAAATCATCATGGGGAAGTGTTTAGGTTTTGTGCAAATTACCTTTTTCTAATTCAGACACTCTTTCTAGCAATGCATTCAAGGCTGTCTCTGTCTTCTGCCGATGGGCTGACGTCTCATTATGAAGCAAAGATTTTTCATCCTCAAGCTCGGCCACTTTGCTCAGGAGCTGGCGTTCTAGGTCTCCAAGTCTCCGCTGGAGCATCTCTCGAAGATCATTAGGCAGTGCTGCATATGACACATTGGCTCGAAGTTGGTGCTTTAAGGGAAAGGAGAAGAAAAAAATGCCATTTCTAAAACAACAAGTTAAACGTAGATATGTTTCTGACTAAAAGGAAAGAAAGCAGGATCACTGAGTTCTCTGGCAAGTACAAAAGAGGCATTGCCTTTTAGTGCTTGTCATGTTCAGTGCTTTTATCAGCACTGTAGCAAAACAGGTCCTGAAACAAAAGGGCACTTTTGTTAGAGGCTTCCAGTGTTTCACATGAAGGAGTCTTCATACATTCAAGTTCAATAAAATCAATGTAGGAAGCCAGGTTTGATGCATTTCCTTTACTATGGGTATGTGTGGCACATTAGTCAATTTTTGCTTTACTTACTGCAAATGACATTACCAACTTAAGTAAATAGAAAAACTATTATTTCAACAAAAAAAGTTTAACTACTTCTAAAGCAAATTTACCAAACTAGTTTCCTCAGTTTTGACTTGCAGAGCATGGAGTCAGATACTCTTTAGATCAACTTTAGATACTAACAGTGAAAGCATTTTTCTTTAAACTGCAATAACCAAAAATCTTTGTTAAGCAACACTGGTATCTTTAAGCATACCAGGAAACCAACAGTTCCACCTACCTACATCTTACTCTAGTAGACTGTCCCTTCTACAACATTTAAAAAAAAGAAAAAAGCCAACATAAGGTGCCTCAAAAACCCAGCAACAATAATGTTACACAACCTGGTCATTCAGAACTACCCAAAAAACAGCCCTCAGTGCTTAGACCTCAGAGAATAACCTTTAGGAAGTTAGTCTCCATCCTCCTCCCAAGCACCACTGAATGCTTGGAGGAGAGCAAAAGGACACCTACGGATCTCTCTGTGTGGAAGACAAAACACAATGCCCAGCACTATTCGTGTGGGAATACTCTATAAATTGTTTCCACAAGTGCCACTCAACCACAGGCACTACCCAAAAGCACATGGAAATCTTTTGTCAGCAAGCTTGGACCGAGTCCCCTTTGTATTCAGTCACACAGAATCACATTCATTTTATTCAATGCCAGCCCTAAATCCATCACCTCATCTTCACAACCTGCCCTACACAAACTCCTTGTCACCACTGGCTGGCTCAGCACCATATGCCAAGGTCTTATCACTACAGATGTCAGCATTATACCTCAAGCCCTGTGAAGCCACGTTCCCAGGAAAAGAGAATTAGGCATATTAGCACAGAAATCAAGCACTAAAACCGCATAACCTCTCCCCACGCTGAGAACGCGCTCGGAGAGAAGACCTTCGGGCTGCTACCATTAAGCCGAGCGGATGAGCCGAGACCTCAAGGGACACGAGCCAAGCGACCGGCCAGCTCGCAGAGCTCCGCGCAGCTGAAGCGTGCTGCTGGGGTCGTGCCGGGGGGCTCGGGCAGGAGGAAGGCTGCCTGCCCAGCCCTACCTCCAGGCTCTCCAGCCGGTCCTTCAGGGTCTGCATGGTGCGGCTGAGCTGGTCGATGACCTGCGCCGGGTCCCTCGGCAGGTCGCCCATGGTGTCCTTGCCCTTGCCCATCTCCTTCTTCCAGGGCTTGCCGTCGGTACTCTCGCAGCGGCTCAGCTTGCCGGTGAGCTCCCGGATGGCCTCCCGCTGGCTCCCGATCGTCTCCTTCTGCTGCAGGACGGTCTCCCGCAGCTGCAGCACCGTGGCTTTCAGCTCCTCCTCGGGGGGCAGCGCGCCGCCCTGCATGGGCACGGGGGGCAGCGGGCAGCCGGCTCCGGCGGCGTCCAGCGGCAGCGAGGTGCAGACGAAGCGGCTGCCCGGCGGGCTCTCCTGCTCCCCCGCCGCCCCCCGGCCGCCCGCGGCTACGGCGAGGAGGAGCCCGGCGACCACGGGCAGCATCCCGGCGGGCGCGACGGGCGAGGGCTGGGCGGGGGACGCGGCGCTGCCGGGAGCGGAGCGGGGACGCGGCGCTGACAGGAGCCGCCGCCGCCCCGTCCCGCCTCGCCGGCCCGCGGCTTTTATCGGGCGGGGAGGGGACGGGGGGGGCGCTCCCGGCTGCCGCTGGTTGGTTGCGGCCGCCGCTGACGCCGCTCGGTCCCGGGGGCCGGGGCTGTGAGGGGGAAGCCAGGCGGGCGAGGGGCTGAGGGGAGCCCGGGCCGAGGCGGGGCTGCCCAGGCGGCCCCCGGCTCCCTGCGCCCGGGTCGGGTCGGGGTGGGGCCCGGGCAGCTCACGCCGCTTCCCCGCGCCCAGGACAGCGCTGGCATGGGGCAGCGAGCGCCTGCCTCAAAGATCGTGTCACAAAAACGAGGGGGGTTCAAGTTTCAGTAGGGCAGCGTTCACAGTTGATGATGGAACGGGCATGGGGCTATTCTGAGAAGGATCACCAGAAGTTTTTACAGAGGACCATAACACCACTGCAGTTTTATCTATATTATTCGCGGTACCAGACGCTTTTGACGTTGACCACACTTAAAACGTACAGGCAGTGAAGGATTGCCTATTTTTCCATGTGCCACACGCACCGCAGCTGAATCGTCCTCGCCAACTACTCACAGCCAGGCAATGCAAACTGTTGCCTCTGTTGGAAAAGCGGAGAAACAATTTCCTCATGCATCAGCAGAGGCTGCTCTTAGGACTCGAAAACCATTGAGTCAAATTTCGCATTTTTAGAAAGTTTATGTATGAAAAGAAAGACGTTTTACCACAGGGCAAATAACTATTACTATGGAATATGTAACTTACTTAGTTATAGTGAAGAAAAACAAGAAATAATGTCATTGAAAAAAAAATTTCAGTGCAGATGTTAATTGCTTTATGCTACAGACTGAGCTGGAAAGTTGCAGGAGCGCACACCACAGAGATGGTTAACTCACTTGTTTCATGATGTCCAGTTAGTTTGTTAAATCCCTCCAGCAATGCCCTGCTTGAAAATCACCTCAGTCAAAGCTGACTGCAGACGACGTTAACTCACACAAGTGAGAGACGCTGCTCGTATTGCCTACTCAAAGGGAGAGAACAGAGGACGGCATTTAATAAGCAACCAGAAGCTCCAATTTCTGTCTGAATTCTGTCTGGAAAGCAGGTCTCAAGAGACTGTCCTGCTGCCTGGTCAGGTGGAAGGGATGTAAGCCATCAGCCTCTGACTCCCTAGCTAGACATCTAACTCCCATTGAAATTGATGGGGTATCACCAATAAATAACTTAGCTGGTCAAATTTTTGGATGCTGCAATGACGAGGACCACGCAAGTATACTGGGAACATCTCCTCTGTCAACACAGCGTCTTTCCAGTCCACACAAGTCTGAGAGCTATTGAAACCTTTATGCAATTACATACCACATCTTTTGCTCTACATTTAAGATCATTCAGTCACGTCTGTGTCACATTTTCTCTCGAATGTCAAGTGAAGCAGTATGAAATATCTTAATAAAATAATTACATAACGCTGTCTTTGCCTTTAAAGACCTGTGACCCTACTGTAGGGCAACAATAGACTATTGCTATTATACAGCTTGATACCACACCCTATCACATGAATTGTGATGGTACCCCATGAAAATACTTAAACACTGTACTTAAATGGGAATTTCAAAATCCTGATCCAGATTTTAAAACCCACGTTCTAATTCAGAGGTGTAAAATCAAGCAAAGATTTTGACTTAGTCCATGACAGTGATAAAGGTATTTATTGTTCCTTTTGAGATTCAAGCAACCTATGGCTTGAAAGTTTTGCTTAATTATAGATGGATTCCGTCATAATCTCTTATTCAGGGACACAGAAAAGTAATACAAACAGCAGCAGGCAATACACATCTGATTTCCAAAGTTCTGTACTGGTGGTAAATTGCTTATGACAACAGAAGTATTGTCCTTTATTACTATACTGTTTCTTTTTGACAGGTGAGGACAGTAAAACAAGAAAGAATCCCGACAGACTCAGAAATGTCAGTTACCACGCAGTGAGGGCAAAAGTGTGGAGGGAGGGTGGACAGACACGGAGAGACGCAGATCTTATCCATCATCCTTCTTAACATGCGCAGTATTTTTCAATAGTGTTTCAGTGCTTTCAAAAACACCCAACCCAAATCACAGTACTCTACCCCACTTCCAGATTCTGAGACCAACACTTGATGGAGGCATTAATTTATGAAAACGCTGTTTGTGAATGTAGCCAGTGTTTTTACATGTTGATGGCCATATCAATCTTCATTTTGAGTGACTAACATGCAGCAGTACATTATCATAAATAATAAATCATTAATCATGAAAAGGAGAAAGTCTGTCATCTTAATATATTACATGCTAAGGCATAAACAAATTGAATACTTGATAATCTGAGATCTTTAAAAAAAACACTCTCGAGGAGTTGTTTTTTTCCCCTATGACCAAGATGAGCATTTTATAGGTACAATGATTATATTTCAGTGTGGTATAAAAGTTGATCAGGGCAGAGTGAGAAGCACAGCAAGTACAGATAACTTACTGTTGCAGCTAAAACTCCCTGGCTCTGGGGCTGTCAGGCAGCCTAGCATCTCTGTAGCCCACAGAATGGATTTTTAATTTTTAATTTAACTTTGACAGTTCTGCTGCCTTCAAAAGGGTTTTATTCTCTTTGGATACAGCATTTGCATGCTAGCTGCTATCTGTCTTTATCTTTGATGCACAGCTGTAATATATAATACTGGAACTTTAATATGAATGCAAAATGCAGTTGGACTCTCAAGTATAGAAGATTTTTGTGTTTAGGATGCAGGTCTGGAATTCAGGAGACCTGACATAGAATTCTGCTAACACACTTCTGTCTACAATACTGGCCAAACCACTAACACAATCTTGCAGAAACTTCTAAATGCATTAGGAGACTGTGACACATTTTTAAAGCATGGCTTAGGCACATAAAAGCCAGCATACAAATATCTTCAGATGGCAGATAAGATTCTTATTTTTTGGACACATTGGTGTCTAAAAATTCCATTCATCATTGTCCAGATATTCAGTTGAAATTTTGTCCTAATTATCTAAGCTCAACTTAGCCTGGACCTATAGATCCAGGCTTAGATCTTTTTATATATGACTTGGAAATTCAGGTTTTATTTTAGTGGAAGTTAAGCTTTTAACTACCTAGTGAAATTTTCAAAAGTGATAAACGTTCAATTTTGTTAGTCAGTACCTACATTTTACAGCCTGGCCCCAGGAACTTTTGAGAAAAATATCTTTAATTTCTCTATGCCTCACTTCTTTGTCTGTAAAATGAACCTATTTTTCATTTTTTTCTCTCTGGCCTTTCTCAAATTGTAAACTCTCACTAGGCAGAAATTGTCTATTCCTGTATGTCTGTGCATCACAATGGGACATTGTCTCACCTGATGCTTATTATTTGTATGAGAACATTGCTTAAATAAACTACTATAACCTAGGTGATATAACACATTCACTTTAAAGAAAATGCTACTTCAGTTACCATTTACAACTCTTAGAAGTTAAAATAAAATACGATAAAAATACATCAGAAGAAGAAAAAAAAAGAAAAAAAAAAAAAGAAAAATGTAAACTGTTACTGGGAAAAATCTGATTTCTTTGTCACCAGGAGTCAAGATTATGGAAAAGTTGACAGTAAAATTTAATGCTGGGCTATCCAAAGTAGAAAAGGAAGAATTAACACTCAAAAGACAATTAGAAAACATACAGATAGGAAAAAGTATTTTCTACTAAATTAATTAATTGATTTTTGATAAGTAGTGAGGGTTTCAGAGGTGTTCACTACAACAGTAATTGCCACAAAGTGCTGATTACTTTGAAATGACTTCTTCATTTCAGGGACCAAATGGGGAATGAACTGTTTTGAAACTGTAAAATATGGGCATCTCTCTCTGAATAGTCGTGGTTTAAAAAGTGTAGACAAACAGCTTACGTTGTCTAATCCATTTCACTGAAAGCAGAACAGGAGTCTACACCAAATGTAGACTTTGGTTGTAGCATTTGGTACACTATGGGCAGTGATCTCAAAGATCTAACTGATCAACAAACAAATCTGCCCTTTCAACCTTGCATAATTTGTGTCATTCCTTAAAAATGTGCCACTTTGTCAAAGATGACCAACTTCATTCATATCAAAACTTTAGCAAAACTATAGAACAATGCACCAGCAACAAAGCCTGAAATCAGGAACTTTGTTCAGTGTCCTTCTGAACATGTTTGCAGAAGAAATCAGAGACATGAGCAGAGTCTTTGCTTAATCCTTAGTATCTACTTCAGACTGTATAACGATCTCCTGGCTACTGATTAAAGGTCTGCCACAGAACTGAACTCCGAAACTTTTAAGAATCTTGGTATCCAGCAACGGTTGGTATCAGGAAATTCAGTGAGGGAGGAGAGGTTGTGACCCAGTTACAGGAAAAGAACCAGGAAACCTAGGTTAGGCTACAGACATTAAAAGTCACACCTAGGGATATTGCAGCGAGAGGATTTTGTTCAACATACTTTAGATGTTCTTAATATTCCCGTCTTATAAAGCTTCTATTGATAAAATATAGATAGAATATTAGAAGAAACCAATCGTTAAGAGACATACTCCCTTATTCTTTCCATATCCTAGACAGTTCTATGAAAATCATAAATGAAAAATGTATTCCCTTTTAACTCAACAGGATTTTTGCCATTGATCTGAATAAATTCAGGTGTTCTCTAGATCATCTAAATGATACATTACCTTTCTGAGAATCATTAATTAGGACAATCTTACTGCTGGCAGAAGGAAAACAGAACCTACTTTAGAGGTAATCACTGCAAATACTACCTTTGTCAGGGAGAATCACTGCAGGAACTTTCAAAGAACATAAGACACTTAAAAGAGATCTTGCTGCCTCTAGAATTCCCTAGAATTTGCTGCTGGTGACTAG